ATTTTATACTATTAGTACTTATTACACATATGCAGTCCAATCTACTGAAACAACATTCATTTATCAGCAAATATTGACAATAAAGTAAATCAAGAGATGTTTTTATCAAAATTGATTCGGAAGTTCATAATTACGGCCTATTACTACTGCGCAACTCTGATCAGATTAGTACTTTGATTGGCTATGGCACACGAGGCCCCACCTTTATGTGTTACAGACGTAAATTTAAAATGTCGGAAAAAGCAAACTACTATCTCTTTAAAAAGAGGGGATTTGTACCCGTTTCAGGTAGGATTATATGCTTAATTGTAGTTGAGTGTGGCAGAAATATTATAAATAACAATAATGAATCGTTGTTTTGATTAAAAATATTGTCAATTTTGTTTACAAATGCCGGGTGCGAATCGCTCCTGCATGTGCCACGTTGATGTTAATAGCACCATTTCTTATTTGAAACACGGAGGGTGAAGAGATAAGGTTTGTTATCTAGTATCTTTCTCTGTATTAATATTCACATAAATACTGAAAAACTTTTCATACCACTGAAAACTTTTCATAGTAAGAACTTATATCATATAAAACTTGAACCCTTGGGAAAGAGGTAAGGCGCTGGCTCGCTAGCCTGGAGGTCAGGTGTTCGATCCCTGCATTGGCCGAGAAAGTTCATCCAGATTTTCCGGCGTGGTTTCCCCTTGTCAGTGATGCAGGACGGAGGGCCTGACAAGGACAGCTGTCTAGTCATTCGGATGAGACGAAAAACCGAGGTCCTGTGTACAGTTGGAATTCGATATAAGAGTAGGCCGTAGTGCCGCTGTCCGGGCAAAATTTCCCTCATAGCACACTGTATGGCGTATGCCCGTCTTCATTAGCCCAGTTCGGAGCAAAACAGTAGGACGTTAAACCCCATTTCATGTCATTTCCTGTCATGCCTTGGGAAAGAAATGCAATTTTTATACACCCACATTGAAATATGGTCGTTACTAATACTATATGTAATTACTTCTCTATATGTATTTCTTGTTTGAGATAATTGCATCCAGTAAAGTCAGATTTTATTTCATTTAACAGACTCATTTATTACAGTGACACATGATAATTTTTGTGTGTGTGGTGGGGGGGGGGGGGGAGACATTTTCAGGAGAGACACTATTATTTTTGAAAAACAAGTTCTCATGTATGTACGCAGAGATCAAGGATCACTTCAGTTTATATGAAAATTGTTAAGATTAATTGGCCAGTAGGTCATAATGATAGGTCAGCTTTGATGAACATTCCCATTGTCTGATGTCAGTATGAAAACATGCAATCATTTTTCTGTGACTGGCTTCAATGGTAGAACACAGTCGTAGTATTATCTTGTGTTGTCTCGGTAAATAGTTTGTGTTTCCTCTCTCTCGACATCCGGTTCGTGGTGATAGTTTGCTTAACCAGGACACAAATACAGACTATGAGTTGCCTGTTTGTACTGGGACGTTTTCTCGTTCATTCACCAAAAGATGCAGCACAAACCAGTGATGGGGGAAAATGCTGGTAAATGCAAACAAAAACTGTTCTCCCCAATAACATTTGTTGAAAGTAGTTCTCTCTCAAAGCGCATTATTGAAATATTTTAAATTGTTGAATGTCCATTGCTGTTGTATGCACCACAAAGAAGGAAAACAGAGTGGAAGGCATTAAGTTTAAACTAAATGTGTAAAATAAAATAGTTGTTGAGCTTTATAGATGTATTCATTTCATATATTATTTCTAATGTTTTGTCTGTATTTTTTGGGGTTAACGATATTTATCATTTAATTAGGTAACATTTAATTATAAATCACATATATTTATTTGATGTATTCTCTGTTTCTTATCTCCCAGTTTTTTGTTGCATCTGATGAAATTTTAAAAAAAATGTTTAAATGGCTAGACCTCTTTGATTTGGGCCAAAGATAAAAATGCAGATTTCATTGTATTTTATGCCTTCATTTGTTTTGTTGTATCATTCACATAGAGAAAACTGTTATTAACTTAGCTGCTAGTGTACATGTACATATTCATGATATCTGAAATGTTTTTATACGCCCACATTTTCATGTGGACGTATATTGTCGTTGCCCCTGTCCATCCGGACGTCCACAATTTGTTTGTGGACACTCTACAGGTCACAATTCTTATCCGATTTTGACGAAACTTGAAATATAGGTTTATCTTCAAACGATCTCGGCTGCTTTCGATATTGGCATGTATCGGATCGAAACTTCATGGATTATGGCCCCTGTTTGTACGAAAAATCACGTTTTTAGCTTGTGGACACTATAGAGGTTGTGGACCCTATAGAGGTCACAATTTTTATCCAATTTTGTTAAAACTTGAAATGTAAGTTTATAACCCAAAGATTTCGGTTCCTTTCGATATTCGCGCATATCGGACCATAACTTCCTGAATTATGGCCCCTGATTGTACGAAAATCTCGTTTTTAGCTTGACCCTATAGAAGTCATAATTTTTATCCGATTTAAAAAAACGTATTATTATATCACCGTTACACCCTCAGGACGACTGAGTTTGAATTTCGTGAAAATCGGCCCAAAATTGACGGACAAAATGGCCGCCGTTCGTTCTCAAATAGCGTAAAAATATGGTATATCAAGGTTGTTTACCCTATTGAGGTCACAGTTTTTATCCGATTTTGTTGAAACTTGAAATGTAAGTTTATAACCCAAAGATCTCGGTTCCTTTCGATGTTCGTGCATATCGTACAGTAACTTCCTGAATTATGGCCCCTGATTGTACGAAAAATCGCATTTTTAGCTTGTGGACCCTATAGAGGTCATAATTTTTATCCGATTTAAAAAAACGTGTTATTATATCACCGTTACACCCTACGGACAGCTGAGGTTGAATTTCGTGACAATCGGCTCAAAATTGACAGACAAAATGGCCGCCGTTCATTCTCAAATAGCGTAAAAATATGGTATATCAAGGTTGTGGATCCTATAGAGGTTACAATATTTATCCGATTTTGTTGAAACTTGAAATGTAAGTTTATAACCCAAATTTCTAGGTTCCTTTCGATATTCGCGCATATCGGACCGTAACTTCCTGAATTATGGCCCCTGATTGTACAAAAAATCGCGTTTTTTTATCCGATTTAAGCCCAAATTGACAGACAAAATGGCCGCCGTTCGTTCTCAAATAGCGTAAAAATATGGTAAATCAAGTTTGTGGACCCTATAGAGGTCACAATTTTTATCCGATTTTGTTGAAACTTGAAATGTAAGTTTATAACCCATAGATCTCGGTTCCTTTCGATATTCGTGCATATCGGACCGTAACTTCCTGAATTATGGCCCCTGATTGTACGAAAAATCGCATTTTTAGCTTGTGGACCTTATAGAGGTCATAATTTTTATCCGATTTAAAAAAAACATATTAATATATCACCGTTACACCCTAAGGATGGCTGAGTTCGAATTTTGTGAAAATCGGCCCAAAATTGACAGACAAAATGGCCGCTGTTCGTTCTCAAATAGCGTAAAAATATGGTATATCAAGGTTGTGGACCCTATACAGGTCAAACTTAAGTTTATAACCGAACATCTCGGTTCCTTTCGATATTCGCGCATGGCCCCTGATTGTACGAAAAATCGCGTTTTTAGATTGTGGACCCTATAGAGGTCATAATTTTTATCTGATTTAAAAAACTGTATTATTATATCACTGTTACACCCTAAGGACAACTGAATTCGAATTTCGTGAAAATCAACCCAAAATTGACAGACAAAATGGCCGCCGTTCGTTCTCAAATAGCGTAAAAATCAAGGTTGTGGACCCTATAGAGGTCACAATTTTTATCTTATTTTGTTGAAACTTGAAATGTAAGTTTATAACACAAAGATCTCAGTACCTTTCGATATTCGCGCATATTGAATTGAAATTTCCTGAATTATGGCCCTTGATGGTAGGAAAAATCACTTGTTAGCTTGTTCTCTATCCATCTCTCGAAAATGTGGGCATATCCTGCCTGGCAGCCGCTGGTTAGCTTGTGGACCCTATAGAGGTCATAATTTTTATCCGATTTAAAAAAACTTATGGCTCCTGATTGTACAAAAATCGCGTATTTAGCTTGTTCTCTATCCATCTCTCGAAAAAATGTGGGCGTATCCTGCCTGGCAGTCGCTGGTTCTAATTTGAAGATAGATTTTCATTTAAAACTATGTGCTGTTGTTTTATAACCCAGGCTGTTGGTTAAAAGCCATGCAATTTTATGTTTGCCATTTAAATAGAATAATTATTGTAGTAATATGTGTACTCAATCATAAACATTTAATCAATTAGGTTAATGACTCATTCATTGTATAAATAAATATACATTGTATAGCTGTTATATTTACACCTCTACACTGCACATGTACTGTAATTTTTTGAAGTTCACCCTAGATAGAAATTAGGATTTTACAAGGTTTCAGACCTGTATTAAACTTTGTATCACCATATAGAAAAGTATAAATCATGAAAAATATAAAACATGATATAGACAAGTGTGTGTATATATATATATCATATATATAAATCATGATATAGACAAGTGTAAATTTAGGAAAACTATTGAAACTTGTAGCTACAAGTGACAAATCATATAAATAACTATTCAGAGAGAGAGACAATAACTGAACTCCCATACATCACAAGTCCATTACTTTAAAATATCCAGCTTGTCTTTTCAACTAACTGTATATAGTGCTTCTGTGATTAATATTTTGTTATGCTCCTACTTTATTATACCACAGTAACGATTGTTATGTTGCGCAGTGGTGGAATTTACCGTCCCAAAAATGCTGTTGGTTGATTTTGTAAGTCATTTCTGAGGAGAATAATATGTGTTCACTGGCTTAAATCAGCAGGTTACGTCCATGAGATAGGTTTGGGATGTCAATCATTAAGAAAAAAAAAAGTACAGTATCTAGCGGTAATAAATTTCTATACATAGGTTGAATATTTTACTTTTTCTCATTTCAGTCATGAAACACAGACAACAACATGGCAGGATCCAAGAAAAACACAGAGTACAACAAATCTTCTTAATCCTCAACAGCAGCAGCCAGCACCTGCTCAACAACAACAACATGCAATGCAACAACAGCAGGCCGCAGGCGGTTCATCAAATCAACCCCCACAAATTATCAATGTGGATAAAATCCCATTACCACCAGGATGGGAACGGGCATTTACTAATGAAGGGGAATGTTATTATATTCATCATGTGGAGAGGACAACAAGCTGGTTTCACCCTTCTGTTCGTAAGTACTTAATACTTATATCATTCTCACCTCAGACTCAGAACTGATCCTGTTTTCTAACATAAAGCTGAATTCATAGTATCCCCACATTACCTTAGGCACAACATCAGTAAGGCCTTAATAGTGACCCTGAAGAAATCTAAAACATTTGATAACACTGAATTGATAAATATTTTGTATCTCCCAAACTTTTGTCAGCATCTAATTTCAAAGATTGCTCAATTTACACTGAATTTCTGTTTCTTTCAGCTGCACATTTACAACGTCCAACGATGCGTTTACAGCAAACTGTTCAGCAGCAACAGCAGCAGCAACCAATGCAGGTGAATAGCCCAGCTTCATCACCAAATGTGGCTCAGTGCCAGGTCAATAACGCTGATAGGCACAGACAGTTACAACTACAGCAGTTGAAAATAGAACGAGAGAGGTTAAAGAAACGTGAGGAGGAGCTAGCGAGACAAGTAATTACTTCTGCTGTAGATATACTCAGCCTCTTGACCCACATGATTCAAACCTTCCAATTATCAATGTTTCCTTCTAACGTCATTTGCCTGGAGTCAATATTTTGTAAATTATTATGTTTCGTCCACATGATTCTCATTTTCACCTTTGTTTTGTTCACTATTTCTTCTTCTCACACAGGTTCATAGATGCACAAAAAAAAATAATAGTTCTCCGCAATTATTAATTACAGTATTATTTTACAATGACCTACGCTTATTTCCTTGCCTAAACTTATTGATATTATCAACCAAAATTACAAATATTATCCATTTGAACGTGAACTTTCAGTTCAGGTTTGCAGTTTCTTTACATTAATTTTTGAATTTTTGTGTGGAACAGATAGAATATTAAAATTAAACATTTGAATAGGAGGAAAAAAAAAATATTCTTAACACATGCAAATTTAAAGACTTGTATGTAAAATGTTTTTTGCATTTCATAATAATAATACCAGTAATAACTTTATTTTTATAAAGCGTTCTATGCATACATTTTAGAATCACTGTGCAATGGCATATTAAAAATTAAACAAGGATGATACATGTACATAAAAGGTGAAATATAGCACAAAAAGTGAAATATAAAAACAAAAAAATTAAAGAACAGATAGATAGAACTCAATGACCATTCAATGGTTCAAGAGAGTGTATCACTGCGCAAGTATTCCACAAGCTATTCAGGTTATTCAATGGTCATTGAGTTCTGTTTTTATTCTATAACTACATGTACATGTAAATCTCAAAATACACTGTACTATCCAGATTATCAAAAACAAAATCACCAATAACGTTAAAATTCATCATAGGTTCCGCCCTTTTTTCTTTCTTTTACAAAAATTGTGGTTGCTAGTGTTGACATTACAGTTTGACATAATTCTGAAGTGACGTCATTCTGGATAAAAGTAGTATTTGTACAAGCCATTGAATACAACCATAGGTTATTCAATGGCTGTATTCAGTGATATTTGCTTGTATTTGCATGTAGTTATAGAATAAACAACAGGATTAAATAGGATATACATAATATAAGCTCCATGTGGTTGTTTAAAATTATACTATTTAATTTCGCTAAAATTAACCACACTTTATTCAGGAACAAGAATTATCTGCCTTTAAATAGATAAGGTTTTAAGCTACTATTAAGAAGGCACATTGTTGGACTGGCGAATATGAGAGAGGAGGCTATTCCATAAATAGGGGGCAATAATGGAGAAGGCCTGCCATTCATATGTTTTATTGGTATGTCTGGTATCTTCTCTCTGAAGAAGAAAAAATTTGTATTCGATGACCTAAGATTTGATCTGTCTGGGATATAACGTTTTATCAGTTTAGCAAGATATGTGGGTGCTAAGACTGACAAGCCCGTTTAGAACAGCCTGAAGTATTGAAGTGTACAAATAATATTTAAAATCTGAAACATGAGACTGAAACTTGGTTCGGATGCCATGATACTGTTATTATTTTTAAAAAAAATAATTCTAATTAATATCAAAATTTGGCACAGGTCAACTTTTCAGTTCTTATTGTATCAAGCAGTGATTAAACATCTTTAAGGATATAAGAGTCATTAATTCCTGTTAAGGCTTAATTATGCAATAAATACTGGTTGACCAAATTAAACAGCTGTTCACATTAGCCTAACAATGTGTAAGAATAAAACCATAATGCCTAGCATTTTTTATACGCCCACATTGAAATAGGGACGTATATTGCCGTCGCCCCCGTCCGTCCGTCCATCATCCACAATTTCGCCAAAAGTTATCATCCAATTGTTTTAAAATTGATATATGTTGTTTACATTAGTGAGATGAAGACGCCTATTTAATTTCAATATTTCCGTTTATTACGTCTAGACTTATGGCCCCTGTTTCACTTTGTTGAACTTTGTGAACGCTCTAATGCCAAAAGTTAACATACAATCTTTGTGAAATTTATATGCAATGTTTAAATTAGTGAAACGAAGAAGCCTATTGAATTTCAACAATTTCTGTTTATTATGTCTAGAGTTATGGCCCTTGTTTCACTTTATTGAACCTTGTGAACGCTCTAACTCCAAAATTTATCATCCGATCTCTCTGAAATTTATATGCATTATTTGAATTAATGAAACGAAGAAGCCTATTGAATTTCAGCAATTTCTGTTTACTACATCTAGAGTTATGGCCCTTGTTTCACTTTACTGCACCTTGTGAACGCGGTTAACGCCATAAGTTAGCACCCAATCTTTGTGAAATTTATATGCATGATTTAAATAAGTGAGAAAAAGAAACCTATTGAATTTCAGCAATTTCCGTTTATTACGTCTAGAGTTGTGGCCCTTTTTTAACTTTATTGAACCTTGTGAACGCTCCAACACCAAAAGTTATCACCCAATCTTTCTGAAACTTATATGCATTATTTAGATTACTGAAAGGAAGAAGCCTTTTGTATTTCAGCAATTTCCGTTTATTACGTCTAGAGTTATGCCCCTTGTTTCACTTTATTGATCCTTGTGAACGCTCTAACATCAAAAGTTATCATCCGATCTTTCTGAAATTGATATGCATTATTTAGATTACTGAAACGAAGAAGCCTATTAAATTTCAGCAATTTCTGTTTATTACGTCTAGAGTTATGGCCCTTGTTTCACTTTATTGATCCTTGTGAACGCTCTAACGTCAAAAGTTATCATTCGATCTCTCTGAAAATTATATGCATTATTTAAATTAGTGAGACGAAGAAACCTATTGAATTTCAGCAATTTCCGTTTATTACGTCTAGAGTTATGGCCCGATCTTTGTGAAATTTACATGCATGATTTAAATTAGTGAAACGAAAAAGCCTATTGAATTTCAGTAATTTACAATAATTACTTCTAGAGTTATTGCTCTTGTTTCACTTTGTTAAAGCTTGTTAATGCTCGATTGATGAAAGTTATCATCCGATATGTATGAAATTTTTATGCATCATTTAAATTTGTGAAACAGGTCTATTGAATTTCAGCAATTTCCGTCAATAATTTTTAGAGTTATGGCGATTGTGAACGTTTGAATGACAAAAGTGATCATGTGATCTGTATGTATGATCTGATTATTACCAACAAAGGAATAAATATGTGACATGCCTTGTCGACCGCTCGGACTATTAAGAGTTATTGCCCTTGTTTCACTTTGTTAAACCTTGTTAATGCTCGATTGATGAAAGTTATCATCCGATATGTATGAAATTTTTATGCATCATTTAAATTTGTGAAACAGGTCTATTGAATTTCAGCAATTTCTGTAGATTACTTCCAGAGTTGAGACCCTTGTTTCAGTTGTAGAACCTTGTAAACCCTCAAACGACAAAATTTATAATCTGATCTGATTATTACCAACAAAGGAATAAATATGCGACAAGCCTTGTCGACCGCTCGGACAATTTAGCTGCTGTGGGCGTATGTTTTGATGCCTGGCAACCTATCTTATTAAATTTGATGTATAGGTTATTCAAGAAAAGTAAAGTTGAACTGTGCCAACGTAAAGTGGGTACTAATACCTCATGTTGAACAAACAGAATATGTTTTATAATTTTCAGGAATTGATGCTCCGTACTGGCAACATACAACCTAATGACACCGGTGGTGATATCGTGATTTCGCAGGCCAGTGAGATGACCTCTGTTACTGATCCATTTTTGAGTCAATCGGGCACGTCCGATCACACGAGGCAAGAAAGTTCCGACAGTGGGCTTGGTAAGTCTGTTTGCTGATCTCAGTTCTGACTGAAAATAGAAAATTTTGTCTTCTAGATAGACACATAAAGTTATACAACAATGTCATCATAACTGACTACCATATATAAATATTTCCACTGTATTGTTTGTATCTTGCATTGCACATACTTGAAAGATACTTTGTTCAATATGATGACATGCACATATGAATTATGGCTAGTATGCCTACGTGTATATAATTACAGCTCTGGATGGAATTACTTAACCCTTATTCTTCCTTGATGCATACCAGCCTCATAAACATTTAAAGATTGTATCTATTTATTTATAGGTGGAATGGGGACAAGTTATAGCCTTTCAAGAACTCCTGATGATTTCCTTGGCAATATGGAAGAAATGGATTCGCAAGATGGGGGTATGCAAAATCTTTTCAATATTTTTAAATATATAAAGGATATAATCTAGAAGTTTTGTGGAAAAGAGAGCTTTCTATTTTGATATGGGCAATTTAAAGCTGACGTTTTTTGAAGATCAGCAAACAATTACATGTATTTAAATACTAAATTAATTGTAACTGCATAAAATATCTTCATTCATTGTTTGTTTTATAAAATATGACTTTTGTATGTTTGCCTAAACAATTCTTTCTTTAATGGAACTGCTAACCTGTAAACAGGTTTGTATATATAATGAATTTTATTAGGTGAATTCAATAATGGATAGAATTAAAAATTCATGTTCCCTTTGTCTTTGGGCCTTCACTTGTAAGGGATGATGCCTGAAGGGTTGACAAGGAAAATTTACCTAGCTGGAAATGCTATCACTCTACTGGTGAGCCGTTTCAGCGAGACAGGAGAAACCCTGATAAATTTGAGATTTATTGCTGCTGTTATTGAAATCTTGTAAAACGATTATATACTATTCAAAAAAGTAGGGGATATTTGATTTTGGGGGCATAATACTAAAATATGCAAATGACTACGAAAAAAGTCACTATAGAACCTAACAGAAGAAACATTTTCAGTTACATGTGACGCCCAAACGCACCAATAGCTACCGCATGGAATGCAGGTGATGCTTGGGATCATCATGGGGGTCCAACCCAAGATTTGCACGACTCGGACTTTGAATGTTACAGTCATTGTGGCATTGAATTCCAGGGTGGAAACATCAGTTTAATTGTTTTAGTGACCAGAAAACAAATTTTGATATGCGTCGGCTTACCCAAAATGAAAGGTTACGTGCCCTTGGCATGCTACAGATCGGCACAACACAGGCGGTTGTGGCGCGGACGATGAATGTTTCTCAGTCTGTCATAAGCAGGCTATGGTCCAGATACCGTGATACACAATCTGTACAGGACAGACCACGCTCAGGTCGACCAAGGGCGACAACTCAAGCCCAGGATCGATTTATCCGTACCTTGGCCTTGAGAAATCGTGTCATCACAGCAAATCAGATCAGCGCTCGTCTTCAAACAGACACTGGTGTGAGAGTGAGTGGCCAGACGATTCGGAATCGACTGCATAGGGGTCACCTTCGCGCCTGACGTCCTCGCGTGATCCCTTGTTTGAGAGATCATCACATTCAGGCAAGACGTCGTTGGTGTAGGGATCGTCAACACTGGGATAATCGACGCTGGAGCAATGTGATGTTTTCAGATGAGTCAAGGTTCACTGTTGATTTTTTGGACAGACGTAGGAGGGTGTGGCGTCGTCGAAACGAGCGCTTCCAAGACGTTAACGTCATCAGACATGATCGATTTGGGGGTGGTTCTGTTATGGTGTGGGGAGGCATCACTGTTGCTGGAAGAACGGCTTTACATGTTGTTGCAGGGCGTGTTACAGGCCAGTACTACCGGGACAACATCTTGGCAGTCCATGTTGTGCCGTTCGCACGACGTCATGGCTGCCGTTTCATCTTCCAGGATGACAACGCAAGATGTCACAGGGCCAGGATCGTTACAGGTTACCTCCAACAACAGAACATCACCACATTACCTTGGCCAGCACTGAGTCCCGACCTCTCCCCCATCGAGCATGTCTGGGACATGCTTGGACAGAGGTTACGTCAACGTCAACAACGTCCTGCCAATGTCCAAGAACTTGCTGCTGCGTTGCAACAGGAATGGCACAATCTGGACCAAAATGACCTTAGACGTCTCATTAGGAGTATGCCACGTCGGATCAATGCTTGTTTGGCAAACAGAGAAGGATTTACCCGTTACTGACTTGGTTGTGATGCTGTGGTAACTTTGCTGTTTGACCCCGGGTATCATTTTACCCTTATAATGGTCAGTCTGTGCCTTACTTAGTCTAACGATCATTTGGAATAAATCGATGAATGTGAACTTCATTTCATTTTGTCATTTGTTTCTTCGTCAGTTTCATTAGGTGACTTTAATAACACTTAAAAATCAAATATCCCCTACTTTTTTTGAATAGTATAGGTTAGGGTATCATTTCATATGTAACTTATGGGTTCTTCCATTGCTAACCTAGCTTAAAGATTAAAAATCTTAATTGAATGTACTTGTAGCCAATGGTTACTATATCCATTTTACGGCAAGTTCAAACCAATCTGATTAAAATTAATTCAGCTATTGAGGTTTATGTATCCAAAAGCCAAAAACGGTTTTAAAATTTTCAATTACAACCTTAATCCGGTTGATTGGCTGGTGACGTCACAGGCACTACACATATTATATACATTATCTATACAAAACACACCACCAGTTGACAAGTGTGTACGTGTCAGCCCAATTAACATGTGACTGGCATAATCATAATCACCAAATTATCGTCTTGCGTTGTTATAGATTACACATTTGTGATTGGAATATTTTAGAGTGAATTTAAAATGCTGTATCATGCCGTAGATCCATTTAAGGTGCCATTGTTTAAATAGGCCCCGTGACAACTGAAGACGACCTAAGCAATTAGCGCATTTACCGGTAACCCCGTAATACTTGATATCCCAAACTATTCTCTATAAGTACAGAAATACAAATGGTGCCAGTCAATTGTCGATATATTCATTATTTGCTATATATAATAATGATAATCATTTCTATACACAAAGAACTCCATTTGAAATTCACAGCGAATATGGAATTTTCCGATGACCATGCATAGATCGCCCTCATTTCTCAGCCAATCAACGCTGGGAATCTTATTGCCATGTACGGTTCCATGCACTACGGGCGTAATAACTGAGGTTAAACTTTGGCGCGAAAATTGCATGGGATTCATGGACATGAATATCAAATACACTTGATCATACGCAGAGTTCCTGATGCCGTTTGGTGAGTGATTAAACTGTCAATGCAATTGTAAAATACTTTTATTATAAAGAAGATAACCTAATAGTATCACAAAAGTTTATTCCTTGAATAATTTATATTCAGATTTCATATCGAGTCAATTAAGTGTTGTTTAAACGCCAGTCAACAAATAATATGAGGCTACCTGATTACAAAAACACCGGTGAGCAATAATTATTGGGTAAATAATAATTATAAACAACTGATGAGTAAAACTTAATTATTTTATACAATTAATATGTGTGTGTTTACGATTCTACCATTCGTGGATACTACGCACACGTTCCACCTAGAGTGATGTCTTTGACCTGGCTGACGCAAAAAAGATAATTACCTAATCAGCATTCTTAATCCCACTAACAATCACTGCTAACACTGATGTAAATTAATTTATGACCCCAAGTCTTTATAACTTTATTCGGATTGCCATATTATTATCAATACACAAAAATAGTTAGATGACCCTTCTCAATCTGTCTGTTATTCCATTTAGATGGTTACCAACAAAATTTATTTGTATTGTTAATTCTAACGTATAAGCTTATTGAGATATTTTTTCGTATTTCAATTTTTGGGTCTATTTCAGAGTAATAATGTCAAATCCGCCGTACGATGATAACGGATCGTCATTTAAAAATCGCTTTTCAATCATGTTTGACTTTTATGATACATTTTGCATGACCGCATCTTTTTATTCCTGAACTCTTTTAAATTAGAACCACAATACTCTTTTAACGAAAATGTATCTCGATATGATTGGACTGCACACGATGTTAGAGGGTATTAAAATTGCTGTCGTGAGAAACGAGAGCGACCGTATATTATGAAACAAATTCTAAATTGGATCTTAAATAAAAATGAATTGCAAAACAAATTATTCTGTAGTCAATTGTTTTATTTAATTAGGGGGATTAAGGAATCAGTCAGGCATTAATGAATACACACGCCGGCTGTATGTAGGTAATTAAGGAATAAACATTCCGAATATGCATTCGGTCACTGGCGTCTGAGGGGATTAAGAGTGTTTTCGATAATTGTCAAAGTCGTTTTTACGAGAGGTCTATTTTTACGACTTTGAGTGAAGATAACTGAATTAATTTCAATCAGATTGGTGTGAACTTGCCGTAAAGTTGATATAGTAACCATCAATTGGCTACACGTATCGAAAAGTCCCCAAGCCCATCTTATGTGCACTTTATGAATTATTATGATGGTGTCATGTGCTAGGTTGTTTTTGTTAGTCATGAAAAATAGAAGATGCATTTGGCGCTACATCATTGTCGAATACAACAGAACATCTAAAATTTGTTAACTATGTGAACACATTGAAAAAAATGGCATAAGGTGATCTAGAAAGAATTGTTTGTAAAATACTGAAAATGTGATTAAGTGCTGCTAAGTGTATTTGTAAGCTTTGTCAAACAGTGCACGAGTTTTCCCTTGTGTCTTACACTACAGCATAGCCTACAGGTTCTATAGACTCTTTTCGATTCCCCGGTTGTACATGACAAGGAGTAGGGTCGCCTGTCCAGCCTCGTGGGTTTACTCCGGGTCCTCTGGTTTCCTCCCACTACTAAAGACCCCTTCACACAAGCAAATTATTGAAATAAAATTGAACCATATATTAGTCTTGAAATGACCTCTCTCTCTCTCGACTTTTTCCAAAATATAGCCTTTGGGTTTCAATGTTTCAGCCAGTTTACATCATAAAACTAGAACAAAATGCCATTATACGAGTTCTACATGCCTGTTACCTGGAATGAAAATAACATATTATTTATTATTGTAGGACCCAAAATGCAAGGTCAAAGTGAATTTGGTAATATGGACATATCTAATGTTGGCAGCGGAGATGGTGGTGATAGCAATATGGAAAGTGAGGATTTGGTGCCTAGTTTAAATGTAAGTTCACACCAAGAATCTGAAAAAAAAGATTCCTAAAGTGACGTTAAAAAAAGGCAATTAGTTATGGACTGTAGTAAAGAGTAACAAAAAGGATGCAGCCAATATTATACTCACGGTAATTCCTGCAAAGAATAGTTATGTGAGACAATTAGAGGACACCAGTTCGAAACATACAAAAAGTATAACAAGAGATGGATAGAGAATAAGCTAAACAAAAAGAGATTTTTCGTAACATCAAGGGCCATAATGCAGGAAGGTACGATCAGATATCGAAAGCAACCAAGATCTTTGGGTTAAAATAAACATGCATTTCAAGTTTCATCAAAATCGGGTGAAAATTGTGACCTCTAGAGAGTCCACAGCCTTGATATACCATATTTTTACACTATTAGCGTACGAGGGGCGGCCATTTTGTCCGCCATTTTTGGTCCGATTTTCACAAAATTCAAACTCAACCGTTGTTAAGGTGTAATGGTGATATATTCAAACATTTTTTTAAATCAGAATAATATTGTGACTTCCATAGGGTCCACAAGCTACCGTCCGATATGCGCAAATATCGAAAGGAACCAAGATCTTTGGGTTATAAACTTACATTTTAAATTCCAACATAATCAGATAAAAAAAAGGAGATATCACATTCAGGGATGTGCCTACTATTACAATTACCGGGCGGCACCGCCCGGCACCAATATTGTCCGCCTGGCAAAAATATCTTGAAGTAGATTTCCGCCCACCTCCATTTTTTTATAAATAAAGATAATCTAAATTGGTAAAAGCGTTTTTATTTGTTGCTTTTAACCTCATAAATTGAATTAAAAAATTTTGACTCGTGTCAAACTGACCTCGTATCATAGACATCTAAATATAACGTTCGTTTGCGACGAAATATATTACTTTCGATTTCTTATTTGAGTTATCTGATATTTAGACTCTTTTAACTGGTCACATCAGCGCAATGTAACTAGCAAGACTGGTTAAACAAGCCTACTGCACCGTTATTGTTTAAAAATAGCACTAGCAGATGACTATTTTTGCTATTTAAACTATTTTTATAGATTCGTGCAATTCTATAATCCGTATCCACGTAAATTCCACCAAATATAAGTATCATGGTACCCAACATTGCTTTTTAAATGAATTTGCCATTGAGGTGTTGAATTCCGATTATAAAATATTCGTAATACTGTAACCTAATTTGATTATCAAAAGACGATTTCACGTGCATGACATTATATTACATGAACTTCGTGCGGCAGACATGTAACGCCCCCTGGAATTCCTTTCTAACGTCACGTCTTTATTTACGTTAAAATTATATTATATTAATTTATATGATATATTTTCCCGACCTAATTATTTGATTTGATCATATTTTCCAATAAATTATTCATAGCCGTTATTTCTGGAAATTGTTTTGAACTTTTTAAATGATTAAATAAACCAGTCAACGAGCTGTGTGCATCTCCATTCCATTCCCAGCATGTGACGTTAAGGTAGAATTAGGTCAGATGACTTGGGGGAATACGTGTTTTATTTATTGAGATATAAATACTTCATAATGCTATAAACTAGTGACAAACAGGTGAAAACATGCGTAGATGGTCAGTGTGAAATTCATAATTGTTATAAAATTGGCTGCTAGTGCTACCTGACTTCCAACCCTTTGAGTAGGCGTATGACAATGGACGTAGTATACGTTCCATGGTACGACTGAATGAATGCCGACTTGTGTTTTCGATAGAAAAATACAGTCATGAGAACTCAGGAAAGAAACAAAACAATAATTAATAAATTCCTATTTTTGATTATGCTGTGGATTACACAGGTATACAACGGTGGTTTCAGTGTCAACATTGCCAGGCAACGAAACATACGCCCACAGCAACTATATCGTCTGGGCAGTCAACAAGAATTGTCGCATATTTTTACTTTTTTCGGTAATGAAACATTCAAATCTGATTAAGAGTAACAACTCATTAAGTAATTATCAGAAAACCATTAGAATTTGTTTGGTTTTTAAAAAGTTCTGCCCCGTGCTAACATTTGGTATACAAAACGTTTAACATCATGGATTTAGCTGTTCCAGTCATAAAGATTCAATCAATCTGAAGTCAATCGGATGATAACTTTAGCCTCTAGAGCGTCACAAGATTTTTCAAAGTGATCAAGGGCCATAACTCTGGCAGCTATTATCAGAAATCGTTGAAAATAAATATGATTCTTTATCTCATGGCCTCAAACACTGTGTATAAATTTAAAGTCGATCGGATATTAACTTTATCCTCTAGAGCGTCCACAAGATTTTTCAAAGTGATCAAGGGCCATAACTCCAGCAGTAATTATAGGAAATCGATGAAAATCAATAGGCTTCTTCGTCTCATAACCTTAAATACTGTGTATAAATGTAAAGTCAATCGGATATTAACTTTGACCTTCTAGAGTGTCCACAAGATTTTTCGAAGTGATCAAGGCCCATAACATAGGCAGTTATTATCGAAAATCGTTGAAAATCAATAGGCTTCTTCGTCTCATGACCTTAAACACTGTGTATAAATTATAAAGTCAATCGGATATTAACTTTGTCCTTTAGAGCGTCAACAAGATATTTTGAAGTGATCAAGGGCCATACCTCTGGCAGTAATTATCGGAAATCGCTGAAAATCAATAGGCGGACGGATGGGGCTGACAACAATATACGACCACATTTCAATGTGGGCGTATAAAAAGCAGTTAATGCATCACTGTTCTGAATAATTTTGTGCTTACATTCGAACTGATAATACACCAAATTGCATTTGAAATTACGATAGGCCTTCTGGTTAGGCCCCGATGAACCATCCAATCAAAAATCAGGGTTTTCCTTATACCCAAATAAACAAATGAAAAACTTTTTTTTACCAAGAACTTTGTCCTGTATAGTATAGCATTCAGGAGTTTTCATAACTCGAGATATGGGAGCTTGAAAATTGACACAAATTTTCAAAAATAGCTTTTGGAGAACTTTAACTGAAAAATTACAACAAAGTACATGGTTACCCATAGGTTATTTGGTTGGTTCTTGTTAACTGCTATGAGTAGAGATGAAAAAATAGTGAAAAACCTGTGGGATACCTTTGGCTTACCAAAGTGTCGTGGCTCAAAAGTACCCGAAAATGAATTTTCGAGCTTTTTCAATGGTCATTTTCTCCAAAAGCCATGGGTATCCCATAATTTTCTTTTGTGATATTGCAAGATTACCTACATAATGTCTCTAAAACACAATAACATTCATGGGACACTAAAGGCTTTTGGATATATTTCAATTCAAAAATAAATTTTGTAGCCCCATAATGGCTGATGCCCTGCGTTTATAAAAAAAACAAAACACTAAAATTAAACCTAAAACATAAAAATATTATTTTTTAAGGAGAAACCTATGGGATATTGACCCACTCCTTTAAAAAACAAATCTTTTGTAACATGTTTTTACCAAAAAAAAAAACCTTTGACCTTGAACTTGACCCTGTGGTCCATGTGACCTTGATGACCTTTTATTAAAAATTTAGCCCTACATAATATCAAAAATTGAAGGCATAATTTTTATTTATTTGTCTGTAAAATCAAGGACATTTCAATAGGAGAAACTTACTTGAATATTGACCTACTTCGTTAATAATTAATATTTTATATTTTATTACAACGTGGGTTTTTTAATTTTAGCTTATAAGGCTAGTCTCTGGATCCACTCAGATGATTTCATATTTATACTTTTGCCGTTTATTGCTTGCAATGTCTGTGGGTTTGTCTAGTGGATTTCTGTTTGGGTGTGGCATGGTCCTCCTACGTTTTCTATAAGGTAAAATGGGGTGACTGACTTTGACATGCTTGTTGTTTTGTCAATTTGGAAAATTGTCAGCGCCAATTAGTCATATTATGTTTGTATGGCATGATGACCCATTATCTATGGAACTATGGAAGAATAACGTTGCCAATATTATTTCAGTGTTACCAGTGCAAAATGCAAATGTCAGCAGTTCAAAATAACTATTTTAGTTTTACTATTTGCAATTTCTATTGCTCCACACAATACCAATGTCACAGTGTTGAAATTCAGAATACACTTTTCAATAATACAAAATACGGTATAATACTTATTTTGCACATTTACACTTCTCGATTCTGCATTTTGCATTATAGACAAATGCCTTTATACTGAATCTCATTCGCACACGGAAAAAAGCCTGGACTAGGACAGAAATTAATAATTTACGCGATCAATCTACAAGGTCAAGGTACATGGGGGTCGAGATCAAGCAGGCATACAATAAGCCACCCATACTCCTCGCAGTGTTTTGTTTGGTTAGAGCTAATCCCACTTAACACTGCTGTAATGGAAGCAAATTTCTGTTCCAAATTATGACTGGTCAATTGTCCGATTAACAACCAATAGCTAACTGTGTTACAATATCATTACACTTTAAACAGAGCTCCAAATTGGACCAAATATGTTTACATAACATCACGTCATAACTCACGATTTTATTTATGCTCAATTAACCAGTGTATCACAGAATATTGCAGAAAAACAAATTGCGTGACAAACGAGGCTATCAACACAGATACAATGTAAACAATACTGTTTGGAGACGAACAATACATTCACCATTTTTAATACCTTAAATCACTGTCCAAAGTTTTAGGGAAGACCCAGATTAAACGACCGGCTGTCAAGTTGCTGTACTTGAGATAGATTTGATTGAACAGGAAGAACAGGCACACTCAAGTATCAGAAGCCAATCCAGCAATGGGCAAAGAGGGATTTCTCGGGCCATTGCTTCAGGAATATGTAAGTCACCACCATACAATAAGTCTACTTGCCATGCAATAAGGGCAAGTCAAGCTAGCATTTATTAAATGACCATGACTTCAATGAAGTCATGCTCCCAGTATAGGGGGGTGGATGGCTGAATGGTTAGCGTGCGCGCGCTGTATCATAAAGTCTGTCATTGAGTCGACTGGCGTGATTTCGAATCCCCGGTTGTACGTGACAAGGAGTAGGGTCGCCTGTCCAACCTCGTGGGTTTTCTCCGGGTCCTCCGGTTTCCTCCCACTGCTAAAGACCCCTACGCGCAAGCGAATTATTGAAATAAAATTAAACCATATGTTAGTCCCGAAATGACCTAGTTTGTGTCGAGTGGACTAGACGTTAAACCCCATCTCTCTCTCTCTCTCTCGCTCCCAGTATAGCTAATCCGCCTCTATTATAGTATAAGCCCTGTTTTTTTACTTCATACCACCCCTTCACTTCAACTTTAATCTTTTTTTCAAGGTATGTAAATATAAATGCGCCAGAAAATTATTTACATACCTGCTTTTTAGTGAAAAGGAACACAATATATTTGCCCCGCAGGTATTTTACCCCGTCATTTAATAAGAGTTTCGTACCACCCAACTTTGACTTTGAGCACCAGCGCTATGGCCTACTCTTATATTGAATTCCAGCGGAACTTTTATGTGCACACCAATGTGTACACAGGACCTGTTTTTTTATACCATCCGAATGACTAGACAGCTGCCCTCTGTTACATGGAAAGTCAGCTTATTGTATGATTGGTGACTTTATTGTATGCCAGTCTGATCTCGGCCTCCATCTACTGACCTTGACCTTAAATTATTAGTTTCCGTCTTAATCCAGACTTCTTTCTGTATTCAAATGAGATTCCATATAAGGCATTTGTCTATAATTCAAAATGCAGAATGGAGACGTGTAATGTGCAAAATAACAATTATACCGTATTTTGTATTATTGAAAAGTGTATTCTGAATTTTAACACTGACATTGGTATTGTGGAGCAATAGAAATTGCAAATTGTAAAACTAAAATAGTTATTTTGAACTGCTGACATTTGCATTTTGCACTGGTAACATTGAAATAATATTGGCAACGTTATTCTTCCATAGTTCCATAGATAATGGGTCATTATGCCATACAAACATAATATGACTAATTGGCGCTGACAATTTTCCAAATTGACATTAAAACAACAAGCATGTCAAAGTCAGTCACCCCGTTTTACCTTATAGTAAATGTAGGAGGTCCATGCCACACACAAACAGAAACCCACAGACATTGCAAGCATAAAATGGCAAAAGTATAAATATGAAATCAACTGAGTGGATCCAGAGACTAGCCTTATTGAAATGGTCCTTGATTTTACAGACAAATAATTAAAATTATGCCTTCAATTTTTGATATTGTGTAGGGCTAACTTTTTAATAAAAGGTCATGTGGACCACAGGGTCAAGTTCAAGGTCAAAGTAAAGTTTTTTTTGGTAAAAACATGTTACAAAAGATTAATTTTTTAAAGGAGTGGGTCAATATCCCATAGGTTTCTCCTTAAAAAATAATATTTTTATGTTTTAGGTTTAATTTTAGTGTTTTTTGGGGTTTTTTTTATAAACGCGGGGCATCAGCCATTATGGGTTCACAAAAAGTGTTAAAATGGACACAAAAATTATTTTTGAATTGAAATATATCCAAAAGCCTTTAGTGTCCCATGAATGTTTTTGTGTTTTAGAGACATTATGTAGGTAATCTTGCAATATCACAAAAGAAAATTATGGGATACCTATGGCTTTTGGAGAAAATGACCATTGAAAAAGCTCGAAAATTCATTTTCGCGTACTTTTGAGCCACGACACTTTGGTAAGCCAAAGGTATCCCACAGGTTTTTCACTATTTTTCATCTCTACTCCTAGCAGTTAACAAGAACCAACCAAATAACCTATGGGTAACCATGTACTTTGTTGTAATTTTTCAGTTAAAGTTCTCCAAAAGCTATTTTTGAAAATTTGTGTCAATTTTCAAGCTCCCATATATCGGCAACCGACAAAAAATAATGATTTTTTTATTTAGAAATGTGATAGTAGTACTTAGTACTAAATGGTACATAATGTTGAAAAATTAAAGAATTTGAAGGTGGTCACTTAAGGGCCTTGCCTGAATCTTACAGAAAGTGGCTCTTAAACTAATAAAATATTATTGTCTTTTCATATTAATTAAAACTTATTATTTTCAGGAAGCTATCAGTAATGATTTATTAAAAGATGTGGAAAATGTTCTTCAGTCTAATAAAATGGACAATTTATTAACATGGTTATGAGAATGGCACCAAAAGGAAAGTCATGATGGAACAGCGATATATAAATTTTTATTCAACTCTAGTTATCACGTCCATATATTATTAATTCCATATTGTGAAATATATATAAAGATGTAGTTTTATATAAATTCAACATAAAAAAACCGAAATATATATATATATATATATATATATATATACATATATATATATCAGGGAAAAAAGCTCAAAGTACTAGTTTCATAGAATATTTTGTATTTTTGAATATAAAAAATCCTGAAAAAAATGTGATCGCAAGAATATTAAATATATCAATTTTTTTGTTGAAAAAAAAAAAAAAAAAATGTCATTACCTATTTCTAATATTTCTATTCTGTCTTTGTGAATTTGAAAAGGGAAATTCTTGAGTTGGTTTGGGATTTTTTTCAGTGCTTTTTTTCTTCAGAACTTTATTCCAAATTTTGGTACTGAAAATTAAAATGGCTACCTCTATGGCTCCTAGTGCTTTATTTAAATATCAAAATCAAAATTTGTTTGAAGAACTACGGCAAAGCCCAGTTCTCTTTAAAGATAGTAGTCAGTGATTAGATGTTTTTATTTGTGCTATGTTTATCATTTGTTACTACCTCGATGACTGAAATTCACCACACCCCAATAAAGATAATCCTTTATTTCATTCATATCACATCATTCAATAGTGGTTGAATCATTTCATTAATTCTCATTCGATCATTTTAATCAGTCAAGTAATGAATTTATTTTAAGCAATCTTTACCAAATTTTCAACTAATCAAAAAACTGTGGTCAAGCATGTCTGAATTGGCTTTTGTAGGGCTTTAGTTGTGAGGTAGCCATTTTAAATAGTGCTATTTTTTCTGTTTGTTTCTTGTGTAGTAACTCCAATACCCCTATCTTTGTCCAGTATACTAAACGTTTCAACTTTGTACTATTAATTATTCAACTTACATATTCTGAGGTTTTTAAAGCATGTATTGAAGAGGTTACGATTGTATTTAAAGAGTTATTTACATCTCCTGAGAGTTCGACTAAGTATGATTTATTGGTTTTATATTCTAGATTGTACAGATGCTAGCATTCAGATTTAAATGAAAAAAAACAACAAAAAAAACCTTAAATTTTTATTCAATCTTTATGTATATCCATAGATAATTTAAATCAGAGTTCATATTTAACATATTATTTGGTATTCAGTTTTTATGTGGCCTTTAATTGTAAAAGGTAATTTAATATACAAAAATCTTGGACTAATCTTCAGTTTGAAGAGACCTCCCTAGAGTTTTGGGAAAAAAAAAAGATAATACATCCATATATTAGTCTGTGTAGACTGACATTTGTAACTATTATAATCATGTAAAGGAGCGGTTTTCAATTATTTTATTTGAAATATTTGAAAAATGTTTCAACATGTTTATCAGGCTTTGAAATCTTGCACCTTTTATCATAAATATCCCCCTTCATGATCTTTGGATTTCTAAATTCTTCTGAAATTGGAATAGTTCTTTAAGACGATGAGCTTGCTCTGATTTATTTTCTTGTTTTAAATTTTTAATTACTTAAACCCGATATAAAAAAAGACCCTGTTTTTATTTTTTATGAATTTTTAATTGTTATATTATTGTCTTAATGTAATGATTTGGTAGATTGATATATCTCCCATTAATAGTTTAATACTAAGTATATATATTTATTTTTACGGCTCTAATGAAATGAGGTACTGTTTCTTTCCCTGATTATTATTATTATTGTTGTTGAAATCATATTATATGGTTAAAATTTTACAAAGATACTTTGTAAATTAATCTGGAGTTGCTTCAGACCGTTTTCTACGTTCTTCAGATTGTGATCAGAAGATCGATAATATTGCCTTTCTTGTTGTATCAGACAAACTGAGAAAGTTGCTGCTGCCAAAATTTGATGTGTATTGCCAAGAGCAACTAGAAAACATTCCATATTAACACAAAATGTCCATTTCTGGTCATTTGACCACCATTATTGAATCTTGACGTCATTAATGACATAAGTTCAGCTCTGATGAAACTTGCTGCTAAAACAAAGCTAAATAATTAACCACATTTAAACCTAGATTCAACTGCAAATAAACCGAAGCGTTAAAGCAAATGTATAGCCTGTTTTTCTCTTCAATTCTAGTTGTCCAGAATTAGAAAAGGTATTTATTACGTAAACTATATTATTCTAGTATTACATATTAACTTTATAACATATAAAATAAATGTTGTCATTAATACAACTAATCTTATCAATAATGTAGTACTCTTAAAGGATAGTCATCCATTATGGATTTAATTTAAATAATATATACCTTATCATTATAATGTATTCTATATGATGCATGCTTTCGAAGGCCAGTGTGACTGAAAAAGAGAAAAGTATAAAAAATATTTTCGTGGTTGAGTTATTTAACCTATACAGAGTCTATATAATGTTTGCGGTATTTTTTAGTGTGCAGAATTCAGCACAAAAACAAATTGTTATTTTTCTGCATTCTTATAAATGGTATTAATTTTTATATCATAAATATAACCAGAAATGGTTAAAGTATTTTTAGACGTTACATTGTATATAGTTTGTTACATTACATGTACATAGATCTCAACAAACAAAACAAAAGAAATTTAAATTCATCATTAAATCATAGTCAATAAATAACCATTAATTTTTATTACCATTACTATAATACAGTCGTGTAGAAAAAAAAAAAAAAAATTTATAAAATAATTTTGTTGTTGTTACTTTGATAGAGAAAAATAGGGTTTAACATCCACTCAACACAAACTGTCATTTATGGACTAACATAATATGTTACAATTTTTAATTCACTTGCACTATGAACCTTCAGCAGTGGGAAGAACCCAGAGCAGCACAAGGTTGGACAAGTGACCGTGCTCCTTGTCACCTACACCATTGGGATGGAAACCATGCCACTTGACTCTATAACCCTGTTTACACTTGGCCGCGTTACATTTCCAGAAATTGGCCCGTTTACATTACCGGTCTCAGAACCGTGCCAGGCACGCCAAATGTTGAACTCCTCACAGAAAAGTTAATTTCAGTCAGTAAGTTACCCGGATGAAAACAATTATGGCGGTTAATTGACAGAACTGATGACAGAGCTGTCAAATTTCACGCATGGGCAGTCATCCGCACTGAAACCGTTCTCAGATTGGCACGGTACCAGGCACCGCACGCTTATGTTTGACCCGTTGACACAAGATTGGTTGCCAGCAGCTAAATCGTCCTGGCAGTCAACAAGAGTTGTCATATATTTTTACTTTTTTCGGTAATGAAACATTTATAATACATTAAAATCTGATTAAGAGTAACAACTCATTAAGTAATTATCAGAAAACCATTAGTATGTGTTTGGTTTTTATAAAGTTCTGACCCATGCTAACATTTAGTGTACGAAACTTATAACATCATGGATTTAGCTGTTCAAGTCATAAAAATTCATTGAAAATCAATATACTTGTTCGTCTCAAGACCTTAAACTCTGTGTACCAATCTGAAGTCAATCGGATGATAACTTTAGTCCCTGGAGCGTCACAAGGTTTTTCAAAGTGATCAAGGGCCATAACTTTGGCAGTAATTATTGGAAAGCGTTGAAAATCAATATGATTCTTTGTCTCATGACCTCAAACACTGTGTATAAATTTAAAGTCAATCGGATATTTAACTCTGGCAGTAATTATCTGAAAATCAATAGGCTTCTTCGTCTCGTGGCCTTAAACACTGTATAAATTTAAAGTCAATCTGATATTAAATTTGACCTCTAGGGTGTCCACAAGATTTTTTGAAGTGATCAAGGGCCATAACTCTGGCAGAAATCACTGAAAATTACCAGGCTTCTTCATCTCATGACCTTAAACACTGTGTATAAATTTAAAGTGAATCGGTTATTGACCGACCTTATTATCTAAAGTGCACAGGTCGTACCTATCCAAATTTTTTTCATTTCGTGTTACAAAATTACTATTTTAAAATAACACCTATATATATATGTAGTGAAGAGTATTATAAGGTTATGATTAGCCACGTGGACTTTGCATCATTGAAAATTAGACCACATCAAACGCTCTAATTATACTTTCTGATCCATTCACCTCCAAATCATGACTATTCACCAAAAGCTGGCAGAAAATTCAAACACTCTTCTTCAATCTAGACAAAAAGGTCAACAAAATTTGCCATGCAAAAAAAGAGAAAGAGATAATTGCTATAAATAAATGCACTACATTCATGCATCGTGTAGAGGAAGCAATTATAGGTCTGAGTCCTTATGGGAATCGCACCACTGTTCTTCTCATCCATATTTTAATAGCAGCAATGAAATGAAATGGCTTTAGAGTCTTACTTTTCTGCACCAACTGGACTAATAATGACAAAAATATCCCATGTCGCATGCTATGAGGGAAATTTTACCCAGACAGCGGAAAGTTTTTTTAATTGCAAACCAAGTATACAAGGAACCATTGTTCTGTAATCCAATCTCAAGGACTACATACATGCCCTCCATCCTATATCACTTTATCAATTATTTCAGTTCACTTTTTAATTTATGTAATTTATTTCTATGTACCCCGTGCCACCCCAAGGCCTAAATCCAGTCCTGACTGTGGCTCTCGTATTTGGCAAATTAGCATATAAATTTATGGGCTGGCATAAAGAAAGTCCATTTCTTATCTTTCAGCACAATTATACCCTCTCACACATCAAATAAGAAATGAGGCTGGGTTCGGATCCTCTATCCTGCATATTGAGAGACCCAAATCCACCAATATTTCAACTCATATCACATTAATTATTAAGATAGGTTGCCAGGCAACAAAACATACCCCCACAGCAGCTAAATCGTCCGAGCGGTTGACAAGGGTTGTCAAATATTTATTCCTTTGTAGGTAATTGGGGGTCTTTACAAGACAGTTCCATACAAATCAGATTATAAATTTTGTCGTTTTGAGGGTTTACAAGGTTCTACAAACTGAAACAAGGGTCTCAACTCTGGAAGTAATCTACAGAAATTGTTGAAATTTGACAGGCTTTTTCGTTTTACTAATTTAAATAATGCATATAAATTTCATACATATCGGATGATAACTTTCATCAATCGAGCATTAACAAGGTTTAACAAAATGAAACAAGGGCAATAACTCTAGAAGTAATTATTGTAAATTGCTGAAATTCAATAGGCTTTTTCGTTTCACTAATTTAAATCATGCATATAAATTTCACAAAGATCGGGTGATAACTTTTGGCGTTGGAGCATTCACAAGGATCAATAAAGTGAAACAAGGGCCATAACTCTAGACGTAATAAACAAAAATTGCTGAAATTCAACAGGCTTTTTCGTTTCACTAATCTAAATAATGCATATACATTTCACAAAGATTCGGTGATAACTTTTGGTGATGGAGCGTTCACAAGGTTCAATAAAGTGAAACAAGGGCCATAACTCTAGACATAATTAACGGAAATTGCTGAAATTCAATAGGCTTTTTCGTCTCACTAATTTAAATAATGCATATAATTTTCAGAAAGATCGAATGATAACTTTTGACGTTAGAGAGTTCACAAGGATCAATAAAGTGAAACATGGGCCATAACTCTAGACGTAATTAACAGAAATTGCTGAAATTCCATAGGCTTCTTCGTTTCAGGAATCTAAATAATGCAAATAAATTTCAGAAAGATCGGACGATAACTTTTGACGTAAGAGCGTTCACAAGGATCAATAAAGTGAAACAAGGGCCATAACTCTAGACGTAATAAACGGAAATTGCTGACATTTAATAGGCTTCTTCGTTTCAGTAATCTAAATAATGCATATAAATTTCAGAAAGATCGGATGATAACTTTTGGCGTTGGAGCGTTCACAAGGTTCAATAAAGTGAAACAAGGGCCATAACTCTAGACATAAACACAAATTATTGAAATTAAATAGGCTTCTTCATCTCACTAATGTAAACAACATATATCAATTTTAAAACAATTGGATGATAACTTTTGGCGTTAGAGCGTTCACAAGAAATTGTGGACGACGGACAGACGGACGGACAGGGGCGACGGCAATATACGTCCACATTTCAATGTGGGTGTATAAAAATGATAGTCCAGGAGCTAATGACAAAATAATATGGTCATCAGTTACAAAAGGTTTGATCCCCAAATTTGTAGCAGGTGTTGGTAGGAGTAAAAATCAGTTGGTCAGATCGGGCACTGCTGGGGCGTATAGCCGCAGCAGCACCTTAAAGTAGCCCCCAGGGGGCTTAAAATTAGGTCATAAGTTACATGGCTGAAACTTTGTAGGGACAATGGTATCCATAGTCGGAGTAAATATTTCACAAATCTAACCAAAATTTCCGGGGCTTTCCCCAAGTCAGACCACGCCCAATATCGCCTCACGGGGCTAATAATATGGTCATCAGTTACATGGCTGAAACTTACCAGAAACGAAGATCCACACTTGGTAAATACAATTTTCATAAATCTAACCAAAAATTTGGGGGCTTTCCCCAGGTCAGATCGCTCTAAAGTATGTCCGACCACACCCTAAAAATGGGGCTTTTTATATGGTCATAAGTTACATGGCAGAAACTTACCAGAAACAAAGATCCATACTTGGTAAATACAATTTTCAAAAATCTAACCAAAACTTTGGGGGCTTTCCCCAAGTCAGATCGCCCTAAAGTATGTCCGACCACACCCTAAAAATGGGGCTTTTTATATGGTCATAAGTTACATGGCTGAAACTTACTGGAAACAAAGATCCATACTTGGAAAACATATTTTTCAAAAATCTAACCAAAAATGTTGGGGCTTTCCTCAAGTCAGATCGTCCTAAAGCCCACCTGGCCACGCCCTAAAAGTGGGACTTTTTATATGGTCATCAGTTACATGGCTGAAACTTACCAGAAATATTGTTCCATGCATAAAATATGTATTTTTCGAAAATCTAATCATAAATGTGGGGGCTTTCCCCAAGTCAGACAGGTCTTAAAATTGCAGCCCCACCCACCCCCTCTATATAAAGCTTATAATAATGTAATATCAATAATACATTGTTAAACCGCATCAAGATTCAAAATTATAGCACAAAAATAGAACAAATGTTTATTAGCTATGTGAAATCCTAAAATGAGCAATGGTATCAAGTGTTTTAGGAAGAGTAAGCATGTCATATCCCATTCACGACACCTCTTATGAATAGATAGTTAGGACTGATGTTAAATTTATGTCTTCAAACGTTCTGTATTCCATCACAACAACCCATTCAACAATGATTCAGAATGTTATTCAATATCTTATAACAAAGTGGACAATTTAAACAAATATTTCGAAGGTATTTATTGGATTAATAAGTTGCTTTGGTTTGAATTCGATAGTTTTTGCTGTTCCCGATCTTCGATAATGAATAACAACCTAATGGATTTTAAAAAATGTTAGTCACTGATGAATTACTGAAATTATGAAATCTATTTATAGTTCTAATACATATAACTTTAGTTATCCTTCCTCCTCATTGGTAAATATTTGTTACGCATAACATTTTAATGATTTAAAATAAGTAAGTGTGGCTGGGTGATGCCAATAGTTAATCTGTCACACTTTCATCGTCACTACAAGAATTGTTTGATTCGTCATCGGAGTCCTTGCTTTGTTGGTCACTATCTTCATCTATGAAAATACTCTCAACTGACACGGGAGCAACATCACCATCA